GAGGACATATGTTGGGCTTTTTTAAATGATTATTTCTAAATTCAGTGGATTGACCCTTTAAGACCCCGGCTTATTGAGCTCCTCACCTTCTTTGTCAGCCACTCGTTCATATTTCAGTCGCTCTGCCTTTACTCTTTATTTCCTCCCCCTCCATCTTCCCCGCTCTCATCTCTCACCCCGCGCCCTCTTCCAGTTGACACCGCGCCCTGACCTGCCCGAGCCGGTTAGCTGCAGCTGTGACTGCCGGTCAGGAGGTTAAGGCAAAGGTTGAGTGTCACACCCACAGGGTCACAGCGATGCCTGCCTGTTGTGTTAGGCTGTGAATGGAGAGTTCACAGTGCCAGACGAGGCGGCGAGCCCCCGACGCTCCGACTCCTGCCTGAGCTCGCCCTTTCCCGAGCAGAGGTCACCGGAGAGGGCCCGTCCTCCCGCTCCCCCCACGCCTCCAGGTCACCATCGCCATTGTTGTAATAGCTGCCATTAGAGCAGATGATACAATTATCTTTCCATTTTGCGTTGCCGCTCTCTAAGATCTGCGTTAAGCTTTAAGAGTTCATCAAAGGTTTTCTCGATGACACGATTGTTGTAACCTCTGTGTGACTCTTGTGTCAAAGGCAACGCAATAAAGCAAAATGTCTCTTGGAAAGAAATGGATTTTTGTTCTTTTGTTTATCCTCGAGGGGTGAAAAAGTGTTCAGATGTTTTATTTTGGTACCTAAAAGCACTCTATTAAAAGTCGCCTTTCAATTATCAAAATAAAAGTAGTGACAGTTTATTCGTTTTAAACAGCGTATTATTTTTCAGATATCTCGCCACCACGGCAAACTGGACTAAAATGTATATTTTCATTTAAAATATACTAACATAGTGTAAGTGCAGTAATCATTAAATATACTTTGATACATTATTACTGCCTGATTTGAGAAATGCACACACAAAATTCCAGATCGAGTAGATACAACAAAAGAATGTCTGATTTTGGTGATCAATATTATCCTTGCTAATATTCTATGTTTGTTATTTAAAGATGTGTGTATGACGTTAGCCCACATGAAATGTTTTTGTTCTTTAAACACAACTGGAGCCAACTATTTGAAACATTTTTAATAAAATAATAAAAAAGATTGACCCGCTTCCGACCCATTAACAGTCCACAAACATACAGATAAGATATATAATGACTACAGCTGTCTCTTCTGTGCATGTAAAATCCTAATTCAACTGAATTCATTTGCAACATAATTACAAAAAATAAACAGTTCAATGTAATGTTAAACACCTGTGCACTAATGTAGTTTTCCACCATTAAAAAGTGAGAAAGTGAGAACGGTCTAATCTAATCTAGCTGGTGATAAATGGCTGATACGTGTGCGCTGAAGCATGC